CGATTTCCCGAAACGAGGATTCGACGCGAGGCGTCGCGGAATAGCGCATGGCCGCCATTTTGGCAGTTTACGGAAGCGAACGGCGGCGCCGCTTTAAGGGCAATCGGACCTCGTCGTGTGTACCAATCGGTATCGTTAACGAGGTTCGCCTCGTCTCGGGCCGCGATACGATATCTGGATCCGCGCCCCCGGGGCCCTGGAGCGATAATCCTCGACGTCTCTATTCGCCGCAAAGGCGCTGCCCCTGCGCCGTTCTTTGCGCCCCGAGGTTGAGGTTAGGTCGGCGCGGCGGTGGCTATTTAATTATCGCGCGCTCGCCGGCGCACTATCGATACGGAGAGCGACGCGCCCCGCTCTCGATACGCATCGACGGTGAACCGGCGGATCTGTTATTACCGCGGTGGGTCCGCGCGACTATTTATAGGTTAGCCGAGCCGATTCCGCCAGCCGATACCCTCGGCGAGCGGACGCGCGCCCCCAAGTGACGCGACGCGTTATTACGCGCCGATCCGCAGCCCTACGACTTACGATTCCGAGAGATCGACAAGCTCCGAGCCGATCTCGGTTCGGCAGAGTTGTTATTAGCGGGCCAGCCGATCGGACGAGATTCGCGCGCGGTTTTTCGTGGCGGTCGCGTGGGCGGCTGCGCCTCCGCGGGCGATCGACTAACGGCCGCGCCGCTGTTCGACGTCCGAATCGAAAATAATTCCCGGTGGACGGCGAAGGAAAGGAATTAACAAAATAATTCTTTGGGGCAGGGGCATTTTTTCTTTCAGGGCTGGGAACGTTTCTTTGCCTCCGAGAGCAAATTCAGGGGGCGTCCATGGCGGCCACTCCACCCGCTGGTAGGCGGGCCGCGGCGCGAAATGTTTAGTTTTGCTCGTTGCCTTTTAACTTCCTGCCATTAGCGGACGCGGCAAAACAATTTCGCGTTGCCGACGAGACCGAGCCGCGAGACGTCCGCAGGGCGGTCTTCCGCCACCCCGAGTCCCGCGGCAGTAACTGGCGCGGCTTCCGCCTTCGAGAATTTCTACGGTCGAACCGCGAATTAATAATGACGCCACGCATTGTCTCCCGGCGGGGCATTACCGTGGAACGGTAATGCAGTGACAGGGCGAAAATACCGCGGACACCGATGAACCGGAGATGCCGACGACGGCGAAGAGGCGCCTCTCCCTCTGGACGTCGACGCCGATCGTTCAGAGCCCCTCCTACCCCATTTGCGTTGATCGGGACCCTCCTTCAGATTTTTGGGTAACGTTTCTCCCCCTTGCCTAAAGATTCCCAGTTATCAACCGCACAGAGAACCACTCGTGCCGTCGCGAGGTATCTCTTTCCGTTCGCGAAATTCCCGGAGGATCGTTGTCGGGCCAGAACGGCGCGATTTAAACGTCGAAGCGGGGACCGAGGACGTCGATGCGGCGGCCATTCGTCACGTGATTTGCGGAAAAAGGTTAACGACGCATTGGGTGCGCGCATGCGAGGACTACGGCGATTCCGTGGATGGACTCGCAGATTGTGTCGAGTCACCGAGGCATCAAGAGACCCGGACTTGTCCTACTGTTATGCGGAACGAGTAAAACGAGGCGTTCGAACCTCGACGAACGGCCGGAGAGGCTTTCTTGCGCCCGATGGCCGCCATTTGTCAGCTTTACCGTGACCTCCCTGGGCCGCGGGACAAATTCCCCTCTTCGACCTCTTCGAGAAATTCGAACACCCGAGCCGTGTCGTACGAATATCTGGACCTTGCACGATCGCAAGGTGGGATTTCGAGATCGAACGAGCATCCTCGGTTTACCCCTCGAATATCAAGGGTTGCGAATATCGGCACGGTGTCTCGGATGGTCTAAATCGACCGCAGGCGGTAATCGCCCGACGATAAAAGAATACTCACGAGCCTCGCAATGGCGAGGCTCCATTGCCGGGATTACCGTGATTATTGTAATTATGACAATTGGTGTCGGGAGTAGAAATAGCCCCGCGAGTTGCGTTTCCAGTTTACCGTGCCGGGGAAGCGCCAAGGGAAAGATGCTCCGGGAAGTACTCTCCTTCCCGCCATAATATTCGACGGTTTATTAAACGTCATTGCTATTATCCTCCGTTTGCTAAAACGGTGCCATCAGGGCTTGGAACTTGTAAATCTCGAAGGTACGGTATCGACGATTAACCGGAATGCGAATGGAATTATTCTCACCCTCCGCGTTCGAAATTACCTTCCCTAAGGATATAATAATAACGGTAATGGTGATAGCCGCGGAAGCGAAAAATCCCTTATCAAGGTTAGCGCGGTTGCTGAAAGTATTCCTTTGCTAAGAGTTTTCGTGGCGAACGACGACGAGTCGGCGCACTACCAAGACACTAGGCCGGTACCGAGGCAAGAGAGATAAGGAGAGTGAGTGCGTTGGCTGGTATCAATTTGTCGGCTGGCAGCACTGGTTCGGTCCTACCACCGAAGGTCGCTTTGTGTTCGCCGCTATCCGGCATTCTAATCAAACCCCGAGACCCGAGATCGATTTATTCTACGTAAACGTAAGATTCCAATTACCGTGACGGCCACCAGTAACCGGGAATAATTGGACGAGGTCCTTCGGAAGTGCAATGGTATTCCTCGAGTTTAATCGCGAGCCCAATGAGAGGGCACGATTAATCCTGCCAAGGTGATCGGGAGTTTCGGAAAAAATCCCCGACCCCGCGGGAAAAGTCCCTAGGAACTTTACGAATGTGTGGCGAACGGTACCTCGGGTAACGTCGAACACTACCGTTGTAAGTGCAGAGTCAACTACACCTGACTCTTTTTTTTTTTTTTTTCTCAGTCATATTATGCACATCGGCTGTCGTTAATCATGCTAATCGTCGCGTAACCGTTAACGCGGCGCTGCTTGAGATTAACTGCCACCGACGTAATTTCCGCGCGAGGCGACGCTACCCCGTAGGTTACGCGTCGAGACGCCTCGTGGCAGGAAAAAAATCCAGATTTCATTAACGAGGTAGAAGTGGCCGGAGGAAATTTCACTAATTTAAGGGGAAAATATTTCGAAGCGATTCCGCGGAAACGAGACTTTTTTAGGTAGCGCAGACTCGGTGGGATCGGGAGAACGAGCAATTAACGACTGTCGCAAGCCTTTCCTTTCGTTTTATTAACATTGCACGTTTACTTAAGTACATTTGGTCTCGCTCGAGGAACATGTTTGGTGGGGAATTACTCCGTTTCTGTACAAAAATCCTTACTAGTCTACGTGGACTCTAGGCGCTTCGAGTAACCCCGGAGAGACATCGATGCCTGCAAGGTACCGTTTTTCGCTCAGTCGATAGACTTCGATCTCTCTCTCTACCCTCGTTCTCCGAACGTTCCCTCTCCGTCTTCCTCTCGACGATTCAATTCAGGCTCTGTCAAAGGTGGCTCGCAAAACGTCCGGAGAAAGGACTCGTTCATACAAGAACGAGCGTTAGAGCCGTCGAGTTGACGAAGCGTTTACACGAGCACGCGAGAGAGCGCTTCCAAGATTTCGTCAAGCCGTGACCGAAGACAAATTGCGTCCACGGAGGAAACGGTGAACCCGTTGAGGGTTGCACGTACGCGACGATGAAGACGTTACATCGAATGATCGGTGTGTGTACAACCACGGAAGGTGCCGGCTGCCATTAAAGCTTCTTGCTTTGAAATTACTTAGCCCGACACTTGCCGCGGTGGCTACCGAGGGGGTCGGCATTTTTCACCTCCAGCAAAGAATAATTAACGTCGATGCAGCTTGGATTTTTTTCTTTCTCTCGCTCGCGTCTTCGATTTGTACACGACTCGGTTCGTCTCTCTTCTCTGCCTCTTCGGGACTTTTACCTTTCTTTCTCGAGCCTCGCCTTTCTCGCAGGGTCAATCGCATTAATTTCGCGTCCACGAATGAAGAACTCAATGGAGGTCTCCGAGGTCAAGGGAAATCTCTCGACGAAGATAAACGCTCGTTGAAGACGAGAATTCAAGAACGGGCTTTCTATGAATTGCTTAACAGAGCCGTTGGTTCTTTTTCCTTCTTCGGGTTTTCAAGTTAAATTCTCGTAGCGGGAGACGGTGGGTCGTTCTCTAGGATTGATGATCGAAGGGATATGAGAAATTTAAATTTCGATGTTCCGCCCCGAGTGAGACGTAAACGTCGACTCGGGGACGAGAACGTGAACGGTAGCCATCTCGGTCCCTGTCCCGTTTTCGTGGCCGAAGGACCGTCCTGGCCTTTCTCGTCCTCGGGGCTTCACGGGACATCTATCATTCTGTCAGCTAGGAGATTTCAATTTGCTCTCTTTTTGCGCCATTACCGAGCTCCGCGGCCTGCAAAATTGTATTTAATTGTGATTGACTGCTAAGTGGAGGTGGCGCGGAGACGAGCATTTGTCTGCGATTTTTGCTCGGCGCCTAATTACGAGCCGCCATGGAAATCGCTTCTGAATTGACTCCCGCGGGAAGATGCCTCCTCCGGGACATCGCGAGACGTTCCGATATTTCGAACGACATCGTATCGGGAAATTTTTCCCAACGTTCTTCGACTTCGACAAAGGGTCCCCTCCTTAGCCGATCGAACCGTCGGAGAGTTCGCGATTTATCTACAAAATTAGCTAACGCTTCACAATAACTTAGACGGGCTTACCATTATTTACAAAAATATTCCGACATGGTTGTCTTACGTTATTCCTATTAACAGCCAGCGAGCGATCTTCGATACGACCCCCGGGGGTTCGATTTACCCCGGCGGAAAAAAACACCGCGAAAGTCGGTCTACTTCCGGGCACGCACGCCCGCCGATTTTAAATTCACTTCAATGGCGATCGGTCTGTCGGCAAGTTTTCAGGTTGCCGAATTCTCGACCCTCCTCTAGATTCGATAAAACGTCCCGGAGTCTCGCGGAAACCTCGCAGGATCTGGGATACCCCGAGACACCGTGCATTCAAAGAACTCGAATCGACATCCGGAAGTGAGATCGGATTTTTCAAAGTTCTCCAGTACATCGAGTCTCTCATTCCCTCTGCAGAAGTTCGTAGAGCGCCGCGATGTACGTCTGGGCCATCTGTAAGGTCTCAAACTTGCTGAGCTTCCTATCGTTGCCGAGGCTCGGCACGACGTCTCTGAGTCTGTCGAACGCGTCGTTGAGGCTGTTCATCCGTCTCCTCTCCCTGGCATTGGCAGCCAGCCTCCTCTTCCTGAGGATCTCCACCCCAGGAGTGCCACTTTTGACCTTGTGGAGGATCTCCTTGGCCTTCTGCGCGGCGAACTCGGCGGAGTCCTGAGAGCCTTGAAATCTGGGCTGCACCTGCGAGTCGCCCCTCTGCTGCAGCTGAGCACATCCCGGTGCATCGCTCCTGGTCCCCGGAAACGCGTTTCCTTGGTAGACGTCCTCTTTGGCGACGCGGTAGGGATCGGCTTTGCCACCGTAGACATCGACCTTCCCAGGGGCGAAAACCGTAGCTCTTTTCCCGAAACCGTCGGAGTCCTGGAAGGAGTCGCACCTGGAGTAGTACAGGTTCTTGGAGTAGGAGCCGTCGAAGGTCTTTTGCGGAGCCTGGCAGGAATGGTAGCCCGTCTTCTCGTAGGTTTCCTCGTAGCGCCGGTTCATCCCGAAGAAGCCCTTGGTCTCGTACGCCTCGGGGCCGAAGCCAGCTCCTAGGCCGTTGAAGTTGCCATTGAAGTTGCCGATCTCTTGGTACTCCTGCTGATGCTGGCTGTCCACGGAACTGACGCTTCCGCAGCTGCTGCCCCTCGACCTCGGAGGCTGGGGGTACGTCTCCTGGACCGGCCAGCCACTTCTGGGGTTCGACTCCGGACTGCTCGCGGATCCGTACCCCTCCGAGTCCAGGAGGTCGTATCGTTGGAAATTGCCGTAGGTGGTCATCTTGCGAGGGCGAGGTCCAGGTCCAGCTTCCCTGGATCGTCAGATCCCCGTCATAGTAAGGGACGCGTCCGAGCCGATTTCGGATTTGAGATCGATTCGGCGAGTCCAATAAGAACCCTAGGCGAAGGTTCCTCTTGGGTTTACCAGGACGGAAATATTCATGGGGTCAAGGTTGTCGGTAAAGAGCGGCTTCGAGGACTCGACCTTCCTTCCGACAAGTGTCCAAGATGGACTCGGTCGTTGACGGCTTAACGCGGCCAATAACCCCTGGGACCTTAAGGACTATCCGGCCTTGACACGATTTCCTCGGGACCGGGGCAACGCATGGAGAGGTCAACCCGCGATTTTCTCCCGGCCACGGACAAGGTCGCCCTCTCGTCGATACCTATCGATACGGATACGGATGCGAGTGCGTCACGGATGCGAGCGTTGCGTAAACTGGCGATGTCTTCACCCGGAGATCTCGTGCTGGACCACGCTGCCCGGTTTTCTTCGGGGCCCGAAGTGGGGGTTGCTAAAGCATGGAAGGGATCTTGAAAACGAGGAAGGGGCCTTCTTCCAGGGGAAGTGGCTCGTCTTTGTAGGAGCCGCGAGGCCGGACACGCCTCCCTTTGCTGGGGGGCTAACGGCGCTCCGGACTGCGAGGCCGGGGTCCTCTTCCACCTCTTCCTCTCGGAGCGGCGACACTTGTCCGATCAATTTTTATTCATTTTTTATTCAATCGTTCGAATATCGGTGATCCCTCGCAATAGGGTATCGATATCAGCGCTCGAGTCTTAGATCCGTTTCTCGGATTAATTTCTTAACGATTCGATCGATTTTCCTCTTCCTCGAAGACCTCTCCAATGGCGGGCAGGTTTTTTTCCCGGGTCGCCGAGGTAGACGTCTTGCTCGACGTTTACCTACGAGGACGCTCTTAGGGAAGGGATGCCAGCCGCAACGTCGGCCCCCTCGGAGGTCCCGTTGTGGTCCCACCGGGACTACTTTACGAGCTGCAAACGGAGACCCAAATTAAGAGAGGCTGTACCTTCCTCTGCAGCTTCTTTCTCCTCTTTTTCTTCTCGCCCCGTACTTTACGAGACTTTAAACGCCCCGGGCCCGCGAAGTGTGGACAAATTTGACTACTTTACGACAGTTCGACTTTACGACTCCCGATGCGAACCGAAACCAGATTTTGTGAGGTTGGACCCAATCCGAGGTAGTTCCTCCCAACAATTTGTCGAATACAAGCTTTACGACCATCCGCCTGAAAATCCTTTTCTATCCGGTTAAATCCAGGATTTCTTATGGGACAATCCACTACCTTAAATTCTATATTTCGGATGAAGGGAAATTCGGACTGTGGAACGTAATCCTATCGGGAGACTTAGACTCCCATTCTGGAGATAAGAATGGCCCGTTTCTAAAGTCTTCGCTCACGTCAGTGCAACAGGTCGTTTAGTGGAACTTTGCTATTTTCGTCCGAGTACCATGTTTGCCCATTCTGTTAGAATATTCGCTTATAGGCGTAACCGACGTAGAATGTTTCTTCTTCGAGTACCTATCTCGAATTGACTTTCATATCCTTCGAAATGACGCAGAACTCCGGTGGCTTTATTTTTTAAAAAAACGCCATCTAATTTTTTCATGCCTCCGTATCAGCACAAAATGGGCTTTTCTTGGGACGAACGCTTCTTGAAAATTGTCGGCAGATAGGCACTTTGGTCGAAATCCCTATATCGGCGTTAATGGTATCGCTCGGGTCAGTAACTCGGCGAGCCTTCGCCGCCTCTAGAAATTCGATCTCACGTTTGCGAATGGGCGTACCCGGGATCTTTTGACTTATCCCGAAAAGGAGGATCTCCCGTGAAGGGAAACGGCAGGCAAGAGCTCATTATCCTTCGCTAATACACACGAAAATTAGTTCGAAACCTGCGTCTCCTCCTACTCGGAAAGGAAAACGAATTTTCCGTCCCTCTTTGCTCCTCCTCCTCCCGTTCCTTCTCGCACCCTCTCTGCCTCTTTCGAGTGCCGGCAGAAAATCCTTAGGGGCGGGAAAAATTCAAACGGATCGACTTTATATAACTTTATAATATCGAACTTACCGAGATCGCGTTAGATAAAATATATACGTGTACGTAAATGCCCGCGGAAAATTATCCGTTCGAATTCCCGAGCCATTTCCATCGATCGATTTCCATCCTCGAGGGTCGATAATCAATTTACGGCCCTTCGATGAAGAGCATAAATAGATTATTACCTGCCTACGCGCCGACGTAGAGTTCGGGTTCGGACAATCGGCGATGATTTACACGGTAATCGTTCGATTGACCGATGCGTTCTCCGTTCGTGTACGGTTGCGTTACATCGTCCGTGCACCTTCTGCGCCCTCTCCTGGTACTTGTACTTCGTCAAATATGGACGTGCACCGAATGCATTATGCTCGCGAGAACCCAAGAAATTTGCATCGCAGGGCTCATTTAACCGTCGTGCATCTCGCGATCGAGACATCCCTGGATAAAACGTTTACCGCGACGAGAGCTCGTTTATCACCCCGTTGAGGGGCGCCGAAGCGGTAGAACTCCATCTTGACAATTTTATCATTCCGACTTTGCATCCCCCATTTAATAATTATTTTCCCTGGTTGCTACATTTTATCCACTCTCGCCCGACTTCGGGAGGCATTTGCGCGGAAAACGACGCCGTTAAGGTGAAGTGAAACACGTCGAGGAACTTGGTCGACGTAGATAAAGAAGATTTTTCTAAATGCCTACGTTGCCGACGTTCGTTTTTATATTGACAGCTGGGTCGAATTATATTGGGTATTGTACCAAATGGCATACTCCACCTGTCGTTTTCGTACAATAATTATAAAGAAATCTAAGTAAAACTCCAGAAATCCTCTGGATTCATGCTTTCTGGGGCCCTAATTGACTGCAGAGGGACCCCCTGCGCCATCTGTGATTTCCAGGTCAATTAAATCTTCACTTCGAGACCTCGTATTTCCATCGTTTTAGCATAGAAGCGCATACAACACTTTTTTTGCCTTTGTCCCGTTCAAATGCGAGTTCATCGATTACCAGAGTGTTCTAAATTGTCGTAAAATTGTCCTGACCCTTTCTATTCTCATATCAGAGCCTTCGATAATTGTATATTGCTCGAAATATGAGAGCTGGACGCCATTTTGATTCTGGTCTGGGCTGAATTAAAAAATTTTCTTTAAAAATCCAAATCTTGAATGTGTCAGGGCAATTCTTAGATGATCAGGAGGGATGTGTCAAAGTTTCGGACAGTTTGGTCTAATACCCTTAAAAAAAAGTGTTGTATTCGAATCGACTGATTTGAAGGGGGTTTCACTTCACCTTAATGCCAGTCCACTTTCAAAGTTTCGGACAGTTTGGTCTAATACCCTTAAAAAAAAGTGTTGTATTCGAATCGACTGATTTGAAGGGGGTTTCACTTCACCTTAAGTCGCCGTTAAGTTAAATAATTAATTTCGGTCCTTTTCCCGGAGGCAAGGCGAGAAAGAGCGAGTGGGCTGAATTATCGTCCGGGGCCAAGTCGGCGCTCGTCTCGTGATTAACGAATCTAAGGTGGGTGCGGGAAGAAGAGGGGGAAAAATGAGCAAAAGCCGCACCGTTTGAAAGTTTGCTAGCGTGCCGAACCGCCGCCGCCGCCGTCCGACGCAACCTGTAATTAGAGCACCTTGGGTGTGATTCTAATTGGGGGTCTGGTCAGCCATAAATCCTCCGGCGTTACGGGGGTCATGTTTGGATGAACCTTGGTCCGAGGACCAGTCGGACGCAGACCTGCGACTCGGGTATCGTTAACCTCTCGGTCGGTCCTAACGTAACGTCGCGTACCTTCCCCGAAAGTGTCGATTCGTACGATCGAATCGCACATTACATTTCGTCGGATAGTGCGAGATATTTTGAGATGCAACCTAAGTGAGACTCTTCGCAACTTCGATTTCGACGCGACCCATCGATACGGGGACGACGCCATGTTGCGGAGCACCGTCTACCTTTGGTAAGCATACCTCGTAATTGAGCGCAATCACCTCGCGTACCGTAGAACCCTAACAAAAGCGTTCGCGTTATACATCACCGTATTTTCCATCGCGCAAGACCCGACAGGAGGTCGCCGCAAATTACTCAAGCAAAACAATCCAAATCGGAGAAGCGAGCTTCGGAAGAATTAACGCAATTCTCTCGCAAATTGGCAATCTACCTCGTATGCCACAATGAAGATATTCCCGAGTCTCTTGTACGGGATGTAATTGAAATTAATGAGACCTCTCTCCGAGAGAGCAGCTCGCGAACGGACTGGACGACCCACTTGATTTCCCATCGACTTTTTTGGGAATTTTCAGTAATTACAAGGACCGCGTCCGAGGTCGATCGTTTCTTTCGTATTTCCGCTTTGACGGCTAGGTTCCACCGTATAGAGATCATTCCGGGGAAGGCATCTCTCGTGGGAAACGTGTCCCGACGCAAGTGTAACGCATCAGAGGATGCACCCACGAAGGCGTAGAAATTTCCGGGTAGAAGGAAGAGCGAGCGTTGCTTATTACTCCTCGGCCCGTTTCAACCCGTTTCGTTCTATTGAATTTTTCCCCCTTCTTGCGCCGGCTCCGTAAAGACACCATCGGGGTCGAGGCTCCCGCTTCTAAGACCAATAAACGTCCTATAAAATAATTATGATTTATATTACGGTATCGGCACGACTTCCGCGCATCGGGCCGTGATTTATGCCCGGGTAAATCGAGGAGCTCCTCGCGAACGAATCGCGACGGAAAAACGCGAGGACGCGACAGAAAAATCTTTATTCCTCCGACCTTTGGTCTCGGGACTTTTTTCACCTTTTCTCCGGCGGGGTAATTCGAGGATCTTCTCAGGAACCGATAGCGAGGGAAATATGCGACGACGTCGTCGTCGTCGACGTCGACGGTCCCTCTCTCGGCGGATTCGTTTGAACGACGACCCAAGGACGACGCGAAACCCTTGGATTTCGCCTCTCTC